GATGTAAGCCACTCGTGCTTGCAAAACGTCTGGATGAATCCGTTTTCCACAGCTAAAACGTGTGGCAAATTGTCGATTTCAATGCACGAAAACTGTATCAAACATGTCCTTAGACCCGCACTTTCAAAGAACCTTAGAATCCGCTTTTAAGCATCAAGCCGATATATTTCACAAAATCCATGTACACTGACCAAAAATTCTTCAAATTATGTAAGATTTAATGAATTACGACAGGATGATGGTCCTGTTGTTTGCAACACGAATTTTAAAATTCAGTCCATGATGCAATTTGTGTGCGTGTGGACTTGAATATGGATTTGAAAATTACACTTTTGCCTTGCAATGATGAGGCGCACATTAGTTACGAGCAGGTTAATTAGGCAATAAATTTTAAGTTGAATTTTCAATCTTGTGGGTTTTGTGTTTGTAGGGCGATTTGGCCGAGTGATAATCACGTCGAAGGACGGCATCAAAAACATGCTTCGAACGGACGTTTGGAAGGAGATGCGACAACTGGATGATCTCATCCAGAACATGACTGTCCATTTCCAAGAGGAGCAATTCAATTATTCAAATATCTGCGCCAAATGGATGGATGAGTGCTTTCAGAACGACATTTTAAATCTGGAGTATATTATGGATGAAGTACGAGTTTCCCCAGCAAAATCCGAGTTTTCACAGAGTTTTACGTCTATTTTCTCAGGTGGAAGCTGGAGAGCGAAACTTAACATTTCCTCTGACTCTCAACACGGTAACATTCGACGTTCACGCTCTTCCAGTGTTCTTTGGCGGCACCGAAGTGAGTGAGGACGGATTAGTTATAAGCGTCCCATCCGTCCAGCTTGTGTACTTTGGAAATGCCGACAACAAGAAAATCGACGCCTTGTAAGTGCATTTATGCAAATAATATCACGTGAAATCGCTCGGCCTTTAGTAATCATGGCCAAAGGCTTTCTTACTCTTTTAACCAGGTTTGCTAGATTGCTTGCGGTTTTAGAAAGGAAACTTGTATTGCGGCTAATATTTCAGCAAGTGGTTTTCAATTTTTTTATCAATTTGCCAGAGGTGGCGCTTGGGAGGAAGGCTTTCTGAATCTAATCGAACAAGTCCAGGACATCGAGAACCGTTTCAAACACATCCGAATAGCGCGATTTGCGTCGAAGACTTTGGATCACGAACTGGAAAAAAACGCCCGTTCGGTGATTCCTTATTTCACCTCGACGTTTGTGATCATGGCAATTTTTTCAGTCGGTGAGTCCGCAAAATGGCCAAATTGCTGCTCGAATTTATTAACATTGTTTCTTTAGTGACTTGCATGATGACGGACTGGGTGAGGTCGAAACCCTGGCTAGGACTGCTGGGAAATATTAGTGCGGCAATGGCAACTTTGTGTGCATTCGGAATCTGCATGTATGCAGATGTGGATTTTATTGGGATTAACTTGGCGGCCCCTTTTTTGATGATTGGTAAGAACCAGGGTTCGGTCAAGTCAATGTTTGAAGAATCTGGAAAATCCCCCAGTTGGAAAGTTTACAGTAGGAGACCTTGAAATAGCGCGAATGTAGTTTAATCTTCCGTACGTTCGTCCAATCGATCCACATTTTTCCTAATGAAAATATTCGGCACTGATAATTTTTGCCACGGATTCATTTACAATTATCCCCATTTAGGCGTAGGAATTGACGATACATTCGTCATGCTGGCGGCTTGGAGAAGAACGTCCATAAAAACGCCCGTTCCACAAAGAATGGCCGAAATGTTGGGCGAAGCTGCTGTTTCCATCACCATCACTTCCGTCACCGACTTTTTCAGCTTCGGTATTGGGATTTTCAGCCCGTTCCCATCGGTCACCATTTTCTGCATTTATTCTGGTAAGTTCACCATGTTTCTCTAGCATGCGTGGTTAGCATCTTCAGAGGTGCATCAATCTTATTTGTACCATAGACTGAATAAGTGAATGCGGATAACGATTTTTGTTGTTCAAACAATGGATGTGAAAGCAACAAGTATTCGTCCAGAAACCAGCAACCTCTGAAGATGCCGATAAAACGTTGAGACTAAATCTATGATGGATTAATAAGCGAAAAAGCCGTTTGTTTAAAAATTGTATGTGTTTTATTTAGGTGCAGCCACTCTACTGCTCTTTATCTGGCATTTAACATTCTTTGCTGGATGTGTGGCAGTTTCTGGATATTGCGAGCAGAAAAACCTCCATTCAGTGTTTTGCTTTAAAGTTGAACCCGTTTCCCTATCAGGTAAGTTTCTTTTAACAGGCAGTAAAATTTGTCTGCAAGTCACTTAACTAACTAAAAATCACTAGAGCCGACTACCTAAAAATCTTCTTCAACTCAAGCGCTTTTTTGAGAAAACCTCGCTTGTTCAAAAAATGCGCTTCAGTTTGAAAAGGCGGATTTTCGAGAATTTCGAGAAAAATACAAATTAATTAGGAACTAACAAATAATGACATTCAGTATCAATGGGAAGTTTGTATATCGAAACCGCTTATATAAGGACAACTGGTTCAGTGGTACCTACTTCGCTTATATAAATTAGCCTTAAAAGAAAGTAGAACATCGAACGTTAGCGATTCGATGCAGGAAGGAGTCGCGTGTCCTTCGAACGGCCTCGGAATGGATTATGTCACATTAATTACGAAAACATCAATACTGGTTGTTCAACACACCCGAATTTCCTTAACTTTCCATTAGAATCCACGCATACTTTACCCTTATGGCGATATCAATGGAAGAATGCTCCTTTTTTGCTCTTTCGGAGCGAAACAAAAGTTTTTATATATTTATACAGAATACGGTGTAAAACAAATGCAAATTTTCTATAAACATGCCGAAACAGACAATAGTTTGCAAACAAACGCTCCGAAGTTGTTAATTTCCGAGTGATACGCAAACGTTCTCTGTAGTGCCAGAAATGAATCGTCTTCAATCAAAAAAATGATAAAAAACCTGATAAATCGGCGCTAACACTAAACAATTCGCACATATACCGGGTGTTTGAAATAAATATATTTTTTTTCCAGAGGACAGATGTTGGTTATACAAAGTGTTCTGCAGTGGAGGAGTCAATCCGAATGACATGGATAATCCAAAAGACAACACCGAGCACGGATTGATGGTCTTCTTTCGGGATTATTTTGCGGGTAAATTATTTTTGGAAAAAATGCGAATCAATTATTTTCACTTGTCGTTTACTCTTTCAAGTGTTCTTAAGCAATGGCTTTGTGAAAGTCTTGGTTATTCTGATATTCGGCTGTTACCTGGCTGGGGCCGGCTATGGAGTCACGCAAATCGAAGAGGGACTAGAAAGACGAAAAGTCGCCAAAAATGGCTCGTATGCTATCGAGTTTTTCGATCGAGAGGACGATTATTATAGGGAATTTCCTTATAGGTAAGTATGCATCTAAATTGCGTGTTTAGACGGCATTTTCATATAGATAATAGTATCAAGAATGTAGTGAAGATAGTCTGGGTAATACTGTATTTTAAGACACTTGTGTGTTAATGCCTCAAGAAGGTGACAAATATGCATTTATAAAGTGTTTGGGTCAATAATAAGGAAAAAATCTTCGGCTAAAGATCGTGACCGCTCAAAAACCTCTTAAAATGTAAAAAAAAAAGATCGTGAACGCTTAAAATGTGCCGAAAAGTCTATTATTTCGGAGCTGAAACTTCTATCATGTTTTTCAATGAGCTCGATGCATTCCTCGCGCCCGTGAGCTGAAAATGATGTAAAATTTAAGATGTTTTGGGGAAATTTTAATTTTTTCAAAAAATTGACCTTCACCCTTGGAAAAATTTTCTCCTAAAATGAAAATTTTACATGCGGTTTTTGTGCTCAATCGATTCTTTTCGACGCAAGGTCACAAATATGCATTTATAAAGTGTTTGGGTCAATAATAAGGAAGAAATCGTCGGCTAAAGATCGTGACCGCTCAAAAACCTCTTAAAATGTGCCGAAAATCTCTATTATTTCTGATCTGAAACTTCTACCGTGTTTTTCAATGAGCTCGATGAATTCCTCGCGCCCGTGAGCTGAAAATGATGTAAAATTTAAGACCTTTTAAGAACATTTACATTTTTTCAAAAAATCGACCCCCCTTGGAAAAATTCGACTAAAAATCAAAATTTTACATGCGAGTTTTTGAGCTCAATCGATTCCTTTCGACGCAAGAAGGTCACAAATATGCATTTATAAAGTATTTGGGTCAATAATAAGGAAGAAATCGTCAGTTAAAGTTCGTGACCCCTCAAAAAACGCTTAAAATGTGCCGAAAACTCTATTAATTCGGATCTGAAACTTCTACCATGTTTTTCAATGAGCTCAATGCATTCCTCGCGCCCGTGAGCTGAAAATGATGTAAAATTTAAGACATTTTGAAAAAATTTTACCTTCACCCTGGGAAAATTTCCTCAAAAAATGAAAATTTTACATGCGGGTTTTTGAGCCAATCGATTCATTTCGACGTAAGAAGTTCAGAAATATGCATTTATAAAGTGTTTGGGTCAATAATAAGGAAGAAATCGTCGGCTAAAGATCGTGACCGCTCAAAAAACGCTTAAAATGTGCCGAAA